TAGAATGAAAAGCATGCAAGAACCGAAGGCCCCAGACTGAAACAATTCATGGAATGAAATGTTCCAGCTTTGTTTGCTTGCTGGTTTGTGTGTTTGTTGTTTGAAATAAGAGCCATTGGGCTCAGTTCAGCTGCTGGGCTATCAGCGATTAATCTGTAACATCACAAAGTGAAGACCTCCTTCCAAAAACCAAGCCACTTTCACTGCCATTGCTGATTTGGAACATGCTCCTCAGGTGGTGAGCTGAGCAAAAATAGTCAGTCATATTAGGGTAGTTTTTTACATTATACATGAATAAGTCTGCCTTTTTTTCAAGAGCACTCCCATTCCTGGCAACTGCACAGAGATGAGTGTCTGGGATCTATCCTTCTCTGCTGGTGTTGTCCAAGCAAAACAGCTCATCTCTTGGTAAAGTCCACCAGCTCCCGTTGTCTCTTTTCTCCACTGAAGAACTCCACAGATGGCGCGAGGGCTGTACCTGAAAGCAACAGATGTCCTACTGTAACTGCTAAAACCAGGCACCAGCAGCACTAATTTCGTGGTGTCTGTCTTTGTGTGTGATGACAAGGGGTACACAGTGCACTTTCTCTGCTGGTCGCTGTAAGGTGCTTGGATTTTTCTAGTCTAATTGTGACTTGTCAATAGAGGCTGGCTGCTGTGAAGGATCACAGGGTGACATGCTGGGTGCGCATGTCCCTAGAGAACTGGGCTGATCAAAGGGGAACCACTGAACTGCTGAGTTTGCTTTCATAGCTAGTCACAGTGAAACAGATCAGCTTCATAGGACAAAAGTCTAAATATAGCTCAAGTTTCTCTGAGTAATAGGATATGTTACAGCTTTTACATGCTTTAGCAACAAAAAGCTGCAGTGGGGACCTAAGGGTTACCTTAGTCAGATATTATCTACTTTGTGCAATGCTCCTAAAAGCCTACTGCTGTGATATTTGCCATTTCTTGGTCTATCTCAGCATCCCAGGGAAAGCTGCAGAAAATTTTGTGGTGAGAGTGGCAAGGTCTGGCAATTGCAGATATCACTATTGGGACAACCCCAGCACCTCAGTAAACAGAAATTCAAGACAAGGCAGCAAAAAAGGGGTGCATGTAGGGCATAGGCGAAAGGCAGTTGGAGGCCAGATTTGGTTTATGCAGGGTAAATTGAGTTTAGAGTGTACAGGTAAAGATCTGCTCTGGTAACAACAACTCCACGCTGATTATCATGCTGCTGCTCTACCAGTTCATGGCTTTCTCATCTAACAGAAACTTAACAGGTAAATATAAAAACCCCAAAGACTTGAATGATCCCTGCTGTCCCTTTAAACAGAAAAAGCTAAAGGAAGTATGAAGCTGGTCTTGGAGGGCAATCTGCTTGATGAGTACAAGCTAAAAGCAGAATAATCCCTGAGGTCTCTCATTTTTTTTTGCTGTAGTTTGGTCAGAAAGCAAATGCAGCTGAATTTTTCAAAGCTGTAATGTGCAGGTGGGTCTGTCCTTCTGCCTGCAATAGCACCGAAGGTGGCTAGTCTGCTGTTCTGTAAAAAGGGTAGGAGGTACAGATGCTCTCTTTCAAAAACTCTGCATTGCTGCTGAATATTTCTGAAACAGTTTTGGGGGTGATGGATAATTCTGAATCTACAGTGGCACGTGTGAAGAGGTGGAAAACAGGCCTTCTGCCTATCCTGAGAAAAAAAGCTTCTTTTTCCAGGGTGTAAATGTGTGTGGTCAGACAAGTCCTCACTAATATTTAAGGAGGACTCTTTATAATTGGGTTTAATCCTTACTGAGCAGAAGGAAAAAGCTTAATTGCCTGGGGAGAAGCCTTTATCTGGTCCACAGACTGTTCAGAGGACTAGGAGGGGGGGAGAATCAGTCAGAATGAGAAGATGGGATTTTCACAGGTCTGTTCTTGATCTGTTTATTATAGCCAATGATAACAGTGAGGTTGTGCTGAGCAACTTGTAGAAACAACAGAAGGATGGTTTCCTTTCTCTCTACCCCATCCCTGGAGCAGATGCATCTGGGAAAGTCTCAAGTGAAGTAGCTTGCTAAAGCTGTGCTGGTATGGATGGCATGAAAATAAAGCATTTTTAACCAGGGTACAGGCCTCTTTGTGAGATCCTTTAAATTAAATTTTTTGAGATGGGGAATCCTCAAAGGGTTGGAAGTAAATCTCCATCTCCTTTGGGGAGACAGCAAGGGAGAGAATACTTCATTGGAGGTTCCTTTGTGTATCGTTACTAACCAGCCTCTTGGAACCTTAACCCCAGGAAAGCATGGGCTGGTCTATAATCGCTTTCCAGTCTCATGAGTACATGGGTGGCTTTTCTTTAAAGAATGTGCTAGGCATCAAGGAATAAGAATATATTAGACTAATTAGACACTAGTCAGCAAGCATAAGGTGGGGAAATGATCTGAGTATCTGGATTACCCTTGTGAGTAAGAACTGGTGCTGTGTTCTCGTAGAGTCAACTCTTTTGGGGAGACACTTTCCTTTCACAGGGACAGGGGAACACTGCTCATTTTAAGACAAGAATTGATAATTGGAAAATAGTAATAAACCTGAGGACTGTAGTCAGTATCAGTGAGCTGATGCTGTGTTAGTAATTAAGTGAATGATCTGAAATGTTCCAGAATGTGAAACAATTATCTGAAGATGGTCACAAAAGGCTGTCTTGGGTTTGAGGAAGAAACTTTTCTGTGGGTTCTGTTCCAGAACTGAAAAATTTTGCCATTATCTTTCCAATTCTGGAGCCTTGCAGAATTACTTAACTGCTGAGTATTTTGTTAAGAACTGATAAGCATTTAATCTGGTGCCCTTCAAATCAGACTCTGTCCCTTTTGGCTTGCTCATTAGCAAGCTAATCACCATTCCCTTTTTCATTGTAATTGGTGTGTTTGATCTTAGAACACTCAGCTTCTATGAGACTTGGGTTTGTTGTTGCTGTTATACTTTCCCTTTCTGTAAGTCTTGCTCCAGTGTTGCCAGTTTAAAGGACCTTCTTAAATTAATGTGGTGAAGCTCAGTTCTTATAATTATCTCTTAACTTTATTAATCCTTTCTGAGTTCCAAGGGCAGCTAAAGTTTTAGACTAGAGCTGTATCATGCATGACACATAAGTCTATTGGGCTGGCACTACTTACTCTGTTTACAGTCTAAATAGGTAAAACCAAACCAGAAGGAAAACAGATACCCTATCATTAAGGGCCTTGAACAAGGTCACAGAGCAGAGCTGTTTGCAGAGCGCCCTGATTCCCCAGTGACTACTCTTCTAGTCAAACATATGGAAGCTGTGGAGCTGCCTCCTTGTGTTGCTGCTCGAGAATGTTGATGGTGACAAGGCATATGGGGACACTTCTCTGATTATCCTCTGGATATATAATATTAACTTTCACGAGTTACACTGAGAAGATGATGGATGATTATTTGCCACTAGGCTGCAAGGTGTATCTGCCTATCAGAGAAGTAGAGAGTGGAACAGTCATGACTCCACTGAGAAATGAGATGCAAAGAACTTGCAGGAGAGGCACCAGAATATATTGGTTTTGCTTGCAAATCTTCTAACCTACCTGGCCGGTAAGATTTGCTTGCCTCGCAAAACAGTTCTCTGGTTTAATACAGGCATTCTGTTTTTGTAGAAGATGGGAAGGAGGCGTGTTGACCTGGAAGTGAAGGGGAAGGAAGCCCTGCTGCATTTGTGGGCGGGAAAAAAGTCATCAAGGCAATGTTACTTTTTCCTGCACCTCTGATGTGAAGGTAGGGCTCCTGCTACCCCCTGTACCATGCAGGAAATAGCAGTCCATGACGGTTACACTATGGGCATGCCCTCCTGTTTCCACTGAAACTAAACTGCAGCAACAGACATCCTTTCCTTTCCCTTAGACAGCTTTTGTGGATCGTGACTTAGGTTTTTCAAGTCAACTTTTAAAGGCCAACTACACTAGGAGGAGCTCTTCCTCCATTTCATCTATTTCCTCCCTGTTCAGCTACCTCTTCACTAAAGCTCTGAATTGCTTTTGTATGGGCTGCTTACTCCCAGTCCAGCTTCTTAAATCCTCTGGACTTCTTTGGGCACCTAAGCTCCCTTAAGAGTATGATTCCACTGACCTTTTTTGATACTACGGTTGTTGGGCACATCATGATAGTCAGCTTCTTGGTTTCTCCTGTTTGCTAGTTTGAAAAAGTGGCTGAAGTATTCTGTGTTTCCCAGCTTCACTGTAGCATTTCTTTTTTAGTGCAGAAAAAAACCCAGTTGTGCAGTTCTCAATGCACAGGCCTTCAGTAAATGTCCCAGGTAATATTGGCGTTTTTTCCCCTTTTTTCATAAAGTCATTTGAGCACTGATTCTCCCTGTCGCACTCACATTACAGGGTGATGGCTTCTTCAGTCAGAAGGCATTTCTCCCAGAGCTGGCAGCAGACCAGATGTTTGTAAGCCCTCAATTTGAAGAATCAGCATTCCACTGTTCTTTGCTAACAAATGAATGTACGCATAGCCCTCTTCATGCTGAAGCTTTCAAGTTTTGTAGATGCTTTATGTGCAGAGGACAGTACGCATTTCCAGGGTAAAGCATGGGCGCACTGTAAAAGGTAACCCCCGCGGATGCCCGCATCGTTTCTGTGCCCGGAGCACACTTAGGTACTCCACCTCAACAGCCTGACCCGGCGGCTGCCGCCCCCGGGGAGGCGCTCACGTTCACGAGCGGGGGAATAAACACCCAACAGCCCCTCGGGCTCTCCTTCTCCCCAGAGCTGCGTCCCTTCCGCGGGAGCGGGTGCAGGAGAGGCGCTGCCCCGGACGGAGGAGGCGGCCGCAGGGCCCCCACCGGGCCACAGCCCGAGGGCCGAGTACAGCCGCCGCCG